GCGCGTGAGGGCTGCCGCGGGTGGGTGGGGTCGAGGCCTGTTGAGTTAGGGCGGTTCGCGGGTGCTGTCAGAGTTGGGCCGGGGCCCCTAGGCAGGGCAGTCGGGTCTTAGAGGCGGGGGCCAGTCGCGGTCAGTGGAGAGGGATGAGGATGTAGGAGGGGCGGACATAACGGAAGCCTCGGGGACTGCGGGGGCGGAGTGCCTCTAGGGCGCAAGGGAGGCCTTTCTCGTGGCTCCTGGGGAAGAAGTGGCGAAGCGAGAGTCCCCGGGGAACCCCCACTCCACCCCCAGCCGGAGACTGGGTTGTGCCTGCACAGACCAGAGCCCACAGTGCAAGTTGCTATAGGCCACCAGCCAGGGTGGCCAACTCCTCCCGGTTTGCCCGGGATGTTGTGGTTTTGGGACCAAAGCATCCCAGGCCTCCAGCCCACTGCAGTGACCGAATTCTCCGCCCCCGCCTGTCTTCTCCCGCAGCTTCCCTAGATTAGGCTTGGGAGGCAAGAGGAGGCCTCCTGACCTTTCATACTGCCTTTTTAATATTAAGATGAAGGCACACGCCACAACTTTTTTCCGGCCAGGCCCAGACATGTCCGTCCTTGTAAGATGAAAGTTTCCGTGGGAGCCTTCCTTCTTAATCAAGGTAGGTAGACTACAGGAAGGTGCATCTTGTTTTGTATTTTGTCCTGTAGAAGTCAGATTTCCGCCCAGTTGTGTGGGAGTGAGGATGAGCCTATGCTTATATCAGAGCTTGAGTACAGAGACATTTGATCTGGAATTTCAGCCAGCCTCTTCAACCCCAGAATTCAGAGGTCCAATCAGAACAGACATTAGCTTGAGTTTTCCCATCAGTCGTCTATCATTAAACTGGCAAAATCTAGATAATTAGAAAATATGACAGAGGTGATCCGGACAGATGTTCAGTTTTTTCCTTGTCTAATTCAAAAAGCCTCGTGGTGGAGCATCGGACCCTTCAAGAGGAAGGATGAAAGCTCTACATAGGAACACGATGTGAATGGAAGAAACTTGTCATTGTGAGTCTGGCTTTTGATTAGTCATCTGATGTCTTCCCTAATGTGATGTGACTTTGAGGCCGTAAACTTCAGTGGCTAAGCTGTAGTTTCTCAGCCTACAGTTAAATTGCAGAATTGATAGGGCTTACATTAGTTTTGTTTTTATTTGATGTTGAAGATCTTTGAGTCACATTAGAAACGGTGAGTATTTTTCATGTGGCACTAATGAGTTAATTCATAATATTATTTTTTGAGTCTCTATTGCCCAGGCTGGAGTGCAGTGGCACAATCACGGCTCACTGCAGCCTCAACCTCCTGGGCTCAGATGATCCTCCCACCTTACCTCGCAAGTAGCTGGGACTACAAGTGCACACCACCACGCCCGGCTAGTTTTTTTGTAGATGTGGGGTTTTGCCATGATGTCCAGGCTGATTTCAGACTCCTAGGCTCAAGCAGTCCTTCTGCCTTGGCCTCTCAGAGTGCTGGGATTATAAGCGTGAGCCACCATGCCAGGCCAATATTATTATTCCCCAAAAGAAGGAAATAGGGTGTGAGGTCCTGCTCCTATGGTCACCATGAGGTTTTTTTGTTTGTTTGTTTTGGGCTCTTGCCCAGGCTGGAGTGCAGTGGCACAATCATGGCTCACTGCCACCTCAGCCTCCCTGGTAGTTAGGACCACAGGTGTGCACCACTATGCCCAGGGAATTTTTAAACTTTTTGTAGAGATAGGGTCTTACTATGTTACCCGAGCTGTTCTCAAACTCCTGGCCTCAAGCAATCCTCCTATCCCAAAGTGCTGAAGTTACAGGCATGAGCCACCACACCTGGCCACCACTAGTTTTTGTAATGGGAGCAGGTTCCTTATGAGATAGAGGAATGGATTTCATGATTGTCTTTTTAATTTCTTAGCTCCCCAAGAAATTGATTGGACATGAGGAAACCACTCTTAAATGTGACCACTCTAAAGCATTATCAGTCAGTCATTTCACTCTAGGGAGAAATCAGAGCTGTATATGGAGGATAGGTAAAGTCCCCAATATGGATATGCATTTTTATATTTGACTACTTGTGTTTTTTTGTTAGATGCAAATAATACGACACTCTGAACAGACCCTAAAAACAGCTCTCATCTCAAAGAACCCAGTGCTTGTGTCACAGTATGAGAAATTAGATGCTGGGGAACAGCGTTTAATGAATGAAGCCTTCCAGCCAGCCAGTGATCTCTTTGGACCCATTACCTTGCATTCTCCATCAGATTGGATCACCTCCCACCCTGAGGCCCCCCAAGACTTTGAACAGTTCTTCAGTGATCCTTACAGAAAGACACCCTCTCCAGACAAACGCAGCATTTATATACAGTCCATTGGTAAATACTGGTAATGTGCTGGTTTTGGTTCGGTTTTGCGATGGCGCTGTTGTCAGGAATAGTCCGGGCTATTGGTCTGATTCAGATGGGCCGTTTTAGGATCATTTTTGATATCATTGCAATGGTACAAGTTTTGTAGCCAAACTGACTTAAAAGATAACATTTTATTTGTTTTTAATTCATAGCAACACCAATGAATGATAAAGGTGTATTGAAAATTTAAAGTTGGTTTTGTTTCTAATTTGAATCCTCTTACTCATAGACTGGGTAAACACTGAATAATCATCTTAAAGTCTGTTTTTAAATGTTCTTCCATATTATAGGCTCTCTAGGAAACACCAGAATTATCAGTGAAGAATATATTAAATGGCTCACGGGCTACTGTAAAGCATATTTCTATGGCTTGAGAGTAAAACTCCTAGAACCAGTTCCTGTTTCTGCAACAAGGTGTTCCTTTAGAGTCAATGAGAACACACAAAACCTACAAATTCATGCAGGTGAATTGCACAACTTTGCAATTTAAACCGAGTAAAGGAAGCATATGTATATAATATACACTCATACATTTATGTATTTCTTTTTAAATAGGGGACATCCTGAAGTTCTTGAAAAAG